ATTTTTCTGTCTGCCACTCTCAGCAGATGGGTGCCACACTGGGAAGTCCGTGATAATATGGTTATTCCTTTACTCTTTTGAATTAGTAATTTATATTAAGATCCACTCCACCACCACTCATTTAGCTCCTCTGATGCTTTCTTTACATTTGTACTTTTGTTTTCTAGTTTTCTTTAAATTCTATTTTAAAAGCCATATGAGGGTAGGGAACAGAGACATGACAGACTGTCATTATTCTACCTGCAAAAAAGATGAGGCATATTAGGAAGGAATGTGAGCTGTCCACAGCTTGAGCCCATCAAAGTTATCTCTTTAGAAGGTTTATGTTTTATGAATGAGCAAACTGCTGTACTTAAAAGTAGCCCATCATATACTTCGTGAATTTTCAGAAATGACAGTAGAGAAATGTTTGTGCATAATTGTCCTGTTTTTTGAAGCATATACAGCAGGACTGGGTACAGTAACCAGTAGCTTTTATCTCGTGTTATGGTATGAAAATGGGAAGAGAGATTTCTCCTGATTGCACCTAGAGGCTTAGGACATTAAGGTTTTTTTCTGGAAGTGTATCTTCCCAAACTTTGAGTCAGTAGATATTTTACATGAAGAAATATTATAGAGTGAGGTGTTAAAGGAGTTCAGTGTGGCATTTGCAAAGCCTCCTCAAATTACATCCTCTCAACCAAACCCAAAATATTTTACGTGCAGTAACCCAAACAAATAACAAAACCCCGAGTTTTCAAAAAACATTAGTCTACTTAAGCTAAAAGTATTAGAAGTTGGAGCAACTTAAAAAGAAAAAAGGAAAAATACTACCTTGAATACTTAATTTGCTGATAGATGTAGACCAGAATGTAATAGTGATATTGACCTAAAGGCTTGCAAGGCTTTTAACACACTCATAATCTCCTTTTAAAAATAAATTGAAATGACCTAAAAATGCCAGGAGCAACCTAGCTTCTCACCCATTATTGTTTAATCATAATAATATAATACCTCTTCCCTCACTACATTCAAGGAATGTATAGTATTTGTCTGCAATTGTAGAGACATGCTCAGTGAAGTACATATTCTGTATTGTCAGAATTTTTAAATTGGAATGTCTGGCATTGTCAGTTTTATCAATTACACTGATGCAGAGAAGCCTATGTTTTTAACGAACACAAGGATTTTATTTTCAAGTCTCGTCTTGCAGAAGTATCCTTTGGATTTTTGAGAAAAAAGACAGTCATAAAGTCCTAATGAAACCGGAAGTCTGAGACTACGTCGTATTCCACAGATTGACAGCATCTTTTATAATTTGACGTGGTGAAAAGAGATGGGTTTAGAGGCAGCATTTGAAATTGCAATCAAACTATTGTAGTGTGCATGATTTTCAAGGCTTGGTTTAACCAGTGTAACAGTCAAAAGTTGTTGTTAACTGAATGATTAAGTATTAAAGCCTGCTCCTCCTTCCGGCCACCCTTGGTGTAACCATCAGGTAGGTGGGGGAATATTTTTTGTCCAGTTGCTGTATGAAATGACAGGATTTATTAGTTTGCAGTATCTCTGTGCAATCCAATGAATCTTTATAAGCCAACCTGGATACCAGGTTGGAGGAGCTAGTTCATGTTACCTTACATTGAAACCCTTTCCTAGAAGATTAATGGTGAACACCACAAAAGAGTTTTTTCAGATAAACCTGGATTTGATAGAACTAGTGAAGAACCTGGAGAAGAAAGGAATCATTATCTATTCAAGATATTTGGTTGCTTCTTGTAATTTCAGTGTGTTCTTCAACTTTGACAAGTCTTTAACTTGAATTCCCCTAGAGTTTCATGATTTCGAAAGGGCTTTCTGTTCCTTATAATGCTGAGTCCCTCTATAGGTCTTAAATGTGACATGAAAAATTACTAATTATTTTACAAGCTTATGACAGCCTTTTTAATTTATCATAAGTTTTCCTAAGCTTTTTGAACAAAGTATGTAACCCAGTCTTCATAATATGTGAGTATTAAGGTTTTTTCCTGTTGTGTGTTTGTTTTTTTTTTATTTTTAATAGGAACAGTTAATTTTTTACTAATAAATAAATATTTAATACCAATAAATAATTAATAAATTATTTATCTCACCAAAGGATCAAATTTCTAACTTTGAATAGTTAACTTAAAATGTTCTGTTTTCTCCTATATATTTAACTCTGGTTTTATTAAAGCTTCTCAATCTTAACAACTATGCTTAATGAGGCACTTTGCCTTTTGATCATGGAGGTTTGGAAAAAGGAATCTAGTGAGGAGACTGACAGCAGACACTGTCCTTGATCAGCAGTGCTGTTTTCTGAAAGACATTTGAATAACAGATTTTCATGCTTTTTCTTGGAGAAGTGACTTCCTTTCAAAAAAATTAGTTTTGTCTTAAAATAGGAAGATTTTTAACTGTTGCACAAATCCTGTCTGTATTATGGTTCGGACCGTGTGGACTTGAAGGAAAGTTATTTGATGTGTAGTAATTCTGATTTTACTAAATGATTTTCCTCAGATAGCTAAGGTGGCCTCTGCTTTTTACCTCTGTGGAAAGGTTAAACAGGTGTAGTGCTAAAATGATTCTAACAGAAATTGATGAAAGTCTAACATCTAGGGACATTATTTAGGTAAACTGACACTCTTTGAAATGCTTCTGCTATAGAAACCAGCTGTTGGTTTATGTTGATATGTAATTCTTACCCAGAATATGTTGGTAGAGAACTGATTTAATTAGCTGTATGGATCTAGAAGTTTGCTACAGGCAGACCTAGAAAAAGGTATTTTAGAGACTCCGTCTCTATTTTTTTTTGTTGTTGTTACTTATTGCTGCTTTTAAAGAGCTTTTTTTGCTATGGTTAAAATTCCCAGCAAGTAAGTTAACATTGTACTTTTTTTTTTTAAGGATGAAAATTGTGAGTCATGGCATATCATGTATTTCCTGTGAGCAGAAGCTAGGGCCAGCTACTGTGTTATATTACCCAATGTAGCTGCAATTCAGAGTAGGACAGTATAATAAATCCTTCTGTTTATCAGTTTTCAACCACAGATAGGCATGAAAAATAAGCAATTATAGATAGATACCTGTGATGAGGTTTCAGCAGTGGATTATGAAGATTGATTTTGGTGATAGGGAATGAATTTCAGTGCTGCAGCTTTTGTCAGGAGTGCTAAGTTAAAAGGAAGTAATTCCAACTGGAGGGAATATCAGAGAAAAAGCAGACTTCAGGATGAGCTGCCCTGAGAGGGATTTTTGATGATACATGAATTGACTCTAATAGGGAATTAAGCAGCTAAAGCAGGAAAAACCTCTGGACTAGAGTTTATAATTTTAGTTTTATTTTTTTGTATAAATTGAAGAGAGAGCTGTTGAGAGGGCTTAGTTTTGATATCGCAAAGGGCAAGTAAGTGGTGTTTGCAAATATGTGGGAAAAGCAATCTGCTCACAGAACCTGTTTTCATTAGTTTCTGTAGTGAAGAAAAATAAGAGAAGAGGAAAAAATACTTTCTGATCAAATAAAAGATGATTTTACCCTTTTGAATGTGAAGTATTTTTTTCTCTATGACTTCTAAAAATGCTAATTTTTAATATGTTACAGTGTTATATTACTGTTATATTTATATGCAGCAATTTTGAGTTTTATCTCTCATTGCTCAGTATCTGTGAGAAAGCAACTTAAATTTTTCTGCTGTCTGAAGCTGGGGAAGAAAATCTGTCAAACGCAAAATCTGCATGTGTGCCAACAATGTAATTAGCAGAACTATTCTTTTAGTAGGATTTTTTTGAATGGATGACATTGTGTAAGATATCTACAGTGTGCCTGGCATGAAAGTCAAGTATCTAGTGTTTAATGTTGAGGAAATTCTTATTGGTAGTGTATTACAAAACATTTTACAATTTCTTTTGGGTACAGTTAAGCCTGTGTCAGATTCCTGACTTAGGATCTCAGTAGTGGGTTGACTTGCACTGCTGAATATGGTTGCGGGTATCTCCACTTGTTGTTGGGACCTGGTATTCAGAACAGATAATTTAAGTAGAACCTGTCTGTGTGTTTGTAGGACTTCACACAAATCCACAGAGGATTACCACTTTTAAGCTGTTTCTGCTAAGATTTTGAGTGGAATTGTAACGTATTATTTCTCCCGTAATGTAGCTGTATTACTGCACGTGTACTACTAATAACTTACTATTAATCATAATATACGAATGCAGATACATAATGTACTGCTCCTATTAATATACTGATGTACATGTGTAATGAATATATCTGCAAGATACGTATGGGGGATGTTTTGACGGAGGGAGGCACTGAGACACCTTAATTAGCAAGAGCTGTATGTTTCTAAAATTTCCTTCCTTCCACTGTCTTGAAGCACAAATCATTTTCATAAATAGGGGGGAAAATTAATTTTAGATACTTTAGTAAAAGTCAGTTAAAAGTCTGGTTTAAGCTGCATTTTGTAGGAAAACAACTATGTCAGTTACAAAATATAAGAGACTGCATTTTGTAATGTATATGTAATGATAATTACAACACATGAAAAACTTGTAAATATTTTCTGCGCTCGTTACAATGTGGAGTTATTTTTTTAAAAAACTCATTCACTAACATATACTTTGCAATTCTTAATGTGTTGTCCTAGACATGCATATATTACACATTATTGCTCACATCAGTCCCTTCATCACACTCGTTGTCCTCTGGCAAGTCCTTGTCTGATCATGCTTCATTGGACACCCTGATGTTGTTTCTACACGTTGTCAGGTCACATTTGTAGGTCTCTGCGCAGAGAAGTACAGTTCTGTTCAGTATAGTTTTTGCTTTGATATATGGTATGCACTCAAGGGAAGACTTACTTACAGTCATTTTCCTTCAGACTGCCTCTATCTGAAAGTGAAATCTTGATGATTTATTTACTGTTTTTGCTTGTGAATCAGATTGCCTATGGTTGATGAAAGAAGGCAACATATCAATGAGATCCGTAAGGTCATACGCAGCGGATATGTGTACTGGTCAAGAGAGGCACTTATCCCTGTCTCTTCGATTATGTGCACTGCAGTTCCTGCTGACTATCCTAAGAAGATTCTTAAGAGTATTCAGAGGTAACCAACATATTGCCGAAAGCTTTTGATCTTGCCAAGATGTCAAATGACATTAAGGTCTCTTAACTATTAAAACACAACTATGTGGAGCAACATGTTCAAGTCCTTTTAGGTTTTGATTAATAAAGTTTGCTAGGGCATGTGAGGATTAGTCTCAGTCCTGATGCAGTTTTCCAGTTTCCTTACAAGAGGTGTTTCTCAGTTATGATTACATACCAAGTACCAGCGTATTAATGTTCAAGGAACTGACAGTCAGTAAGTGACAAGAGTGGAATTTGTATCCAGGTTTATTACTACTTGTTCAATAAAAGTCAATTATTCTTTGATTGTCACTTATTTTTTGATAGAGAAATCCATGTATGTTAAGAACTTTGGCAGAACTTGAAACAGAACGACTTCACGGGTGGATTAGGATACTGGTTTCCAGACTCCAGAGAGACAAAAATCAGTAACCTTTCTACTCCTGGCAGGGTTGCCAAGGCGGCATTCAAATCCTCAATAGATCTTGCTATTATAGAGGCAGATTTTCAAAGGTTCTTAACTCAGCTTCTAATTTAGTGCTTGCTATTTTAAGCCTGCAGTATGCCCAGGCAAGCTAAGCTAATAGTGAGTATTCAGAAACTTGTGACAGCTTCCACAAGACCTGTGCTTCTGAGAAGAGACAGGCAATTTTGACACTAATGTCTCTCTTTTGCACTTAGTCTTTTTGGACAACCTTTTAATTGAAACCTTTGGAGCAGTGAAGCAGACACTGATCTCATTTGGCACTTCTCGTTTAGAATTTACCCTGTTGTGGGTTGCAGTGCTGTGTCTCAACCTCAGACTCAGATCAACGTCTACCAAGTTCTCTCCTCTGCACATTTGTTCAGGTGTCTTGGACTAGCTGCCCTGGGACTTTTAGAATTCACATTCTGACATGAAACATGTCTCTTTGAAACACATCTGGTTCTATTTCATATGGTAGTAGAAAATAATGTCCATGCTGCTGCTTTTTACAGCATGGATTTGGGATTTTTTTTTTATGCTCCTGGCTTCTTTTGTGCTATCCAGAGGAGAGAGCATGCAGGTGCTTTCACAGTCTGTCTAAGTGTTGGAGGGAGTTGTACCTGGGTGGTAGCAGTGTGGGCTACAGTAGTTCATCTCAGTGTCAGTCTTTTTTTTGTAATGGGGAAATTGGAGAGTATCTTTGGAAACTTTGGTTTCATGTGCAATGTTAAAAAGAACATTTGGCTAGAAAAGCAAAACCGAGCATCCTTATACCAGGCCTCCCAACACTTCTGCCTGCAGAAGTGCAATACATAGCAGACAATTCGTCTCTGAGTTGAGAAGACTTTGTAAGGCTTAGATGTACAATGGTAACTCGGAATTTTTCCGTGAAAATGTAGAAATACATGTTCTATATATGCATGTTCTACAATGATGCAAGGCATGTTTAAGGTTCTTTTTCAGGAAACTGATGGCTTCTGTGAATTACTGTTTGATAAATTAGAAGTTTAGTTTTGCTGTAGCTGCTGTTTTTTCATATGTTCTATCTTAAGCTAATACTACTTTTCTTGGAACATTAGATTCTAAGTACAGGATATAATTACAAAGAAATTCATTTGGATTTAACAAGTTATTGTCAATACACTTTCTGTTGCTCTTTAGAAAAAGAAAAAAAAACCCTAATGTATTCACAGTTGCAGTTCTAAAATTCAGCTGAATTAATACAGTCTTACAAGTTTAACTAAGAAGAACTGCGATTATCTTGGGTAAATGCTGATTTTTCTATTAAGAGAATTTTCTGGATAAGAACCGAAAGTACTAGAAGGTCATGATGGATTAAGTCTCAGGAATCTAGACTAAGAAACTTACATTTGACTTTGTTAATCACAGCACCAAGGAGTTTTCTTTACGACAATCCACTTACGGGTTGTTTATAGATTGCAGATTATGATACAGAGTACTAAATATGCCACTTGCCATCAGACAGAGGTTCGTAATTAAGAAAAGCTGAAGCTTGCAAGAGACTGATGTGAGAGATATATTAGTACTGCTGTGGGAATGAAGGGATAACATCAGTAAATGCATACATCAGAGAGAAGTAACATATTTCAGTTGGAACGTGGAGAGGGATGTAATGCTGCAATTAAGGAAGTGGAGGGGGAGAGAGAGTACAGCTGTTCAGCCAAAGTGGCACATCTTCCTGGGAGAATACTTCTCCTTAGCAAGATAATACTGTTTCCAAGATTAGAGATTTTGGAAACACTTTATATTTAGAGTCTTAAATACTAAAGTCTTTGTATTATTAATTAGATTTAAATTAAAACTGATAATTTTAGGTGTTCCTTTTGGTATGTTGTTTCAGTTTCTGTAAAGCTATTTTGAAAATAAATGCGAGTGTTGTAGATATGTTTTCATGTGTGTATAAATGCACACTGAAATAAAGTATTAACACCATAACATTAAAAATTCTGACTTTACATGCATTATTAAACTTGTGGATAAATCATTGTAAAACTTTACATGCATTATTAAACTTGTGGATAAATCATTGTTGTAAATGTAGATGGCTCTTTTTACCTGGACCACATTTCCTTTCACGTCCCCGGGCTTGTTATCTGGGGCATAGTGCCATGTCAATGCAGTTGTATTGCTTTGAGTCAGACTGGGTGTGCATGTGCATACACCTTTTCTGCAGCCAGAGGCATTAAATGTGAGCTGCAGGAACACTCAAGTTGGGCTTCTGTCGCAAAACTTTTTACAAGTTAAGTGCCAGTCCACTTGGAGCCAAGCTGGCCAAAGGGCTAGAGTTATATTTATACTGTGCTCTCTGGTGTAACTGATAAATATTACCAATACCCACATACTTTGTCAGTCTTGTGTTCTGCCAGGTAAGTTGCTTCAAGATCTGAGCTAGCTACGTGTGATGGAAGGAAGCATTTTTTCAGTTGAAAGTGTATATAAATTTACTAAGGAGGAAAGGACTTTGAGTCTTCAATTGATCTGCAGAATCAAACCTTCGGAAGTGAACCTTATGTTTGCTTATCACTGTATCACTTCACTTTCTTTGGAATATGAAGATTTAATCCTACCCTTTGGTCTTGTGTTCAGCAACTTTCTTTCTTTCTTTACCCAGGATATGTTCCCACTGTTTCTTCCTTTAACAACACTGCTTAACTCCATTCCTGGAGATTTCAGGGCAGTTTCTTCAGTCTGACATTTTTCCTTTCTGTCACCTTTTCAGCCATACCTTCCTGATATTTATTACTTGTTTAGGAGCTCTACTGTCTTCTCTGGTTAATTTTAAAATGGCAGAGGTATAGTAAATACTTTTTCCTAAATTTTAAGGATCTTCTGTTGTTGAGTTTTGGAGAATTGAATAGTTCCATTCTGTGGTGGTTTGTTTTTGGGATTTTGTTTGTTTGTGTTTTAACAGCATTTCAACTTTAACAGAAGTGAAAACTGTATTAGGATTTCAGTGAACTTTCTAACCGGGAAAATCACTAGTTAGTGTAGATTAGTTAGATTTTTTTTTTTTTGGCAACAAATACTGAATTTTCAAAATTCAGAGTTGCTGTAATCGATGTATAAACAAAATATTTCTTGATACTTTTTTTTTTTAACTTCAGCAAAAAAAGCTTTTCAGAAAACGTGTATTTGAATTTTTAAAATTTAAGAGTGTGTGATCTTTCCTAAAAAGAAATGTTAGTAGAATGTAACGTGGGTGGCCTCGATCTTGCAGTTCAGCAGTACTTGTGCCTGGCTGTTTTTCTCACCATTGTGTCTGGATGATGTTAATTGCAGAAGAGCTTTGAAATCAAAGGTTTTTTGAATTGCCTGTCAACAGTATTGCAGACAATGCACACTCAGGAATTGCTATGTGTTTGTTACTCTGTGTGCAGTTAAGTAACTATTTAAGTATTTCTTCATTTTTCTGTGACCACTAGGAAAGGATTGGTACTTGGTGCACTTGTCACTGACTGTGACAGATGTGAATGACAACGTACCCCAGTGGGCCATGGAGCCGTTTCCCTATTTGGCTGTGGTGTCCCCTGAAGCTGTGGGTGGTACTGAAGTGTACAAGCTGTTTGCTGTGGATGCAGATGAAGGGATCCATGGAACTGTAGAATATTTTCTCTTGGAAGGTAAATTTTAACCCTCTCATTCCCTGTGTATTAGGCTTTGCTATTGTTACTTCTTTGTCTTTTAACCTCAGTTTCATTAGTGAAAGATCTTCCCTTCCTCCTTGTCTTGGTTTAATCAGTTGTTCTATCACCCAGTGACCGTTCCCCACCTTGGGAAGGGCAATTGACAAAAAAAGGAGGCCCATGGGTTGAAATGAAAACAGATTTAATAAAATAATAAGAAGAACTAATATTAGTACTAATGCTAATATAAAATACACAAAATTATACGACAAAAGTGCGATGGTCACAGCAAGCAGGAGAGTAGGCCTTGGGAGCAGAATGACAGGCGAGACCCTCCAGGGATGGTGACCATTGAGGAAGAGAGGTGGTCCCCAGCATAGTTTTCCAGTTTATAGTGAGCGGGACATTTAGGGTATGGAACACTTCTGTTGGCCAGCTTGGGTCAGCTGCCCTGGCTTTCTGTCCTCCTGGCCTTAGCACCTGGCTAACTCTAAACTGCTAAAAACCTTGATCACTGTGGAAACCTGCATACCATGAGGGACCTCAAACTGAAACAAAGTGTCTTAACTTTGCACCAGATCAGGTGCTGCAGTGGTCTTAAAAATGCAGTTTTTCTGACACAGAATTATTTCTGTGATTCTGTTCCAGCGAAACCAGGACACTCCTGCAAAAGGTTCATAAACCTTCAGCTTGGTGTGTGAGAAAAATCAACTTTTATTCAGGGTACAGACAGATTTGCCAGATTTGAAGTGTGTTCTCCCTGCAAAATTGGGTTCCTGCCCAGATTGTCCCCTGGGGGATGATGGAGACTGGAGCAGTCACTGCTCTTCAGGGCTTTGGCAAGGGGGTGGCAATGGCAGCAGTAGTCAGCACCTGTCTGCTGGACTGCCTGTTCATGAGATAGGGCAGTATTGGAACACAGACTGTTGGGTGGAGAGGATTGATGTTCCTTTTCCCTTGCAGGAGTTGAGCTTCTGGTTCATTTCTAACAAATTTGTAAGGGTATGGGTTGTGCTTTAGCTTTGCAAAGCTAATACAGACTCATTAATAATTTTTTGTGGGGCTCTTAAAAGAAGCTTCAGTAATAATTCAAAACTGTCTTAAGCAGAAGAGGAATAGCAATACTGCTCCAAAGGTGAATTTGTTCCTCTTGGCCAGGACTCTAGCAGGGTATTTTCTGGTAAGGGATATTTAGAGTCAAACAACTCTAAATACAAGCAAAGTATTGCAGGATAAAGAAGAGTGGTAATTGTCCAGAGAAGTAAAATGCAACTTAGAAATGTAATCATGGATGTAATTACTGATTTCTAAGTTCTAAACAAACTTTTGAATTTTTGTGTGCATACTGATTCTAAGCCAGAACCAACTCAGGAATTGTTACCGTATTCTCATTTTAATTTTAATCAATAAAATTGTTCTTACTGACAGCAATTTGTGGATCTGTTCTTTTTAGGTGGTGAAGACAGATTTGAAGTTGAGAAGGACACTGGCTGGATTAAAACGACAGGTTTGCCATTGGTGAGGGATAAGGAGTATTTACTGACTGTACTAGCAGCAGATAAACTTGGAAGCAGAGGGTCTCCTGCCTCTGTTTCTGTAATTGCTGGATTTCGACCGCCGCAGTTCACCAACACATCATACTTTGTTCATGTTCCTGAGAGTACGCCACAAGGAAAAGTGTAAGTAACAGTTAAAAATAATGCACTGAGGTTGTGTTCCTAGTTTAACTTCTGTTTGATATTCCCATCGCCTCAGTATTGTTTGTGAATCATAAATAGATACTGTGAGTAGCAATGTAGATCACTTAATAGAAGTCATCAAGATACAGGTTGATTGATATATTTTTTTAGTCATTCTTTTATACGGAAAAGCAGTATTGAATAATTACAATTTCTTGCTTTTTTAAATGATATGGAAATTATTAGTAGATGTTGATTGTGTCTTAATTTTCAAACAAAATGCAGAATACAAATGAGAACTGTTACATCATAAGAAAGATATCCTAGTGTGAAAGAATATATTAATTTTATATGTCAAATTTGGAGAAGTGCCTTCTCCATCAAGTGAAAATCTGAAGAAACAAGAGACTGTCTTTTCTGTCTTCATAAGTCATGGTGACAAACTGAGCAAAAATGAAGATGCCACAAAACTTGTCATTTTATTTTTCTATCCTTTGTCTAACCATGTGGATCTAAATATCACAGAAAATGTTAGTAATGTAGGTCCACCTGAATACCGAGTTCTGTCTGTCCCAGCCTGTTTTGTTCTTACAGAAAACATTCCCTCTTCCAGTTGAATTGAGAATACTTTTGTCCAATAAACGTCTTTGTTGTGTATCCATTCAACAGTCATATTATCTGTGGTGTGTTGTATTTTACTGTGCAGTCTACAACATTCAGTTTTACAGTGTCTAAATAACCAAGATGTATTAAGTTTAAAAAAAATAGCAGCTCTTAATGGTAGATAACAGATTTTTCTTTAAAACTGCCATAAACTTAAATCGCACAGGCATAAAAGAAGCGTAAGAACTGTGAAACACTGCAGTACCTAACAGGTACCTGCTGTCTCAGGTTCAATGATGTTTAAGTTTAAAAATAATGAAATTCTTGTAACTTTTTTGTCATTATTTAAGAACAGGTTTGCACATCTAAGTTGATAGTAGATTAATCAGTTTGTCAAATTACTTTGTAACATCCAAAAGGAATGAAGTATTTAATGCCATTATTATTACGTCGGAAGAGGTTTGAATATAAACAATTTGCCCAGTGAAAGTAGTTTCCTGTTACATGTTGACAAGAAGTAGTCATGAAAATCAGTGTAGAATCCCCAAGTTCTGATATTTAAATCGGACCAATTACACAAGTGTGCAGGGAAACAGAATTGCTGACATGCACTGGATTTCTGAGTTTGGGATTTCACAACTGTAGCTGATGTAAGACTGCTGCTGAGCAGAGGAGCATTACCAAATCTTTCCCTTCCTTTGGTCTGCCAGGAGTGCTGCTCTGCTAGCTGCATGGGCAGGCTGTTATGATGAAAGACAAAGCCACAAAAAGAAAAAGGTTTTCAGTTGGATTGTTAAGTGTGGTTGCAGCATGACCTTGTGATTTTTAGTGCTGACAGGAGAGGAAAGGTGGTGTGAACATGCAGCCAGGGTAGGGAGTTAGAAGGAGGGCAAAATAATTCCTGTTGGCAGAAACACAGTCTTGGCACTGTCTGAAACTGACTGTGAGACCACATCATAGGAAAATACAGAAAGAGACTGAAGTGAGGTGATGACCTACAGCAGCCTTTTCCATTGTTTCAGTATTGCACCTGAGGGAAGTAAGAAGACAGCAGGGAAAAAGGCAAAAAATGGTGTTTGGACAAACTGAGTTTTGTCTTTTTGATTGCAGTTGTCACTGGGTCATACAAGTTAGTGAGTTCTCCTGGGAGACAGAATTCTTTTTCCTAAGAAACCTACATGATAAGGCAACAGACACTTCAGGAATTGTTATTCTGTTTTAATCTCTATAAAAAGATTTATGTTTTAATTTCTTCTTTTACTTCATGCTGCAACTGTTTTTCCCACTTGAAGACTTTAAGCACATTGGACTTCAGTGGTAAAAAGACTGTGCCAGACAAAAGCTAAAAACATATGTCCTATATAACCTGTAATATGCAGGCTGTTAGTGACTGGCTTTTATCCTTTTGCAGTTATCTGTTGAAACTTTAGGATGGTATGACTACAGCAGCAAAGTTACCTTTGCTTTTATTAAAATGAATCTTTTGCATCTTAATTTATCTTTTACTTCCCTACCTGAAAAACTCTGCTACCGTAGAAGAAAGGTAGAGTAGGAAAATTCAGTTGCAGCAAAAATGAAATCCTCTGTTCCTGTGTTTTTAATCCTTACTAAGTTCTGCTTCCAAGAACCCCATCTTTATCTGTTTAACTTCAACATGACAGAACTACTGTATAACAAAATGTTTGAATTTGGTATTTAGGTACAGCTATCACTGACTTTAGATTGCTCTGATCAGACCTACAGGATTGCACCATCATTCCTGATATGTATGGTTATAATAATATATTTCAGTATGTTTTATTGCATGCTTGAGTCCTTTTTTTTTCTTTTTTTTTCTTTTTTTTTTTTTTAAATGCAGCTTTCTTACAGTCACTGCTATATCATACCAGAAGAAATCCCTGAGCTACAGTTTATTAACTAATCCTAGTGGTCTGTTCAGTATTGATCCGGCAACAGGCGATATCTGTTTAACTCAGGGTGTGGATTATGAGAGTGACCAACACCGGTATCTTCTTTTGGTCAGAGCAGAGGAAAATGAGGAAGAGCTCAGTAGTGCAGCTGAGGTAGGTGTTCACTTCTGGCAGTCTGTATAATATTCCCTCAGCCTTTCCAGATTTCTGTGCAGATACACTGGGGGCTCCTGTTTCCCCAGCTCATGCTGTCTGTTCTGTCCGTTCTGTCTATGCGTAGATGTTGAGGGCTGGTTTAGGTTCTCTTAGAGTTCACTTTTGCTGATGCTGAAAAGTCTACTTCTGAGGGATCAATATGCATCCCATCATAGGTCCTAGACCTTATCTTGGAAGATGGGGAAACAGATGCAGCCAAGCCAAACATGAGGTTTTGTCTTACTCTAAACCTTTGTAAAGTATGACGTATATTTGAGATTATTCCAATTTGAAATGAAAGCAGAATAGAAATTATTTATTTCATATCAAGAACATAAAGTGAACTTGTGAAGAGAGAAAGTAATAAAAACTCACAGATATTAAAAGATGATGGGTCATGGTGTTTTAGAAAGCTGTTTGACAGCAAAAATATTTCTAAATATAGCTATTACAGTTGTTTGAATTCAAGGATTCACTGAGCTAGGAAATGCATGCAATATAATAGTTTGCTCCTGCTGCAGGAAATAAAGATCTATACTGTAGAGGGAACAGGAGGGAGAATTATTAGGAAGAAGTGGGAGGATACAAGAGAGACGGCAAAACAGGGTGTCAGTGTAACAAACAGTGGCTGTAGGACACCAGAGACTGATAATTTCTGTTGACCCTTTTATACACTACAAGATGAAGAGTGGTAGAATATGGCTTGAAAGGTGATTATGAGATGATTTTACAAATACATTTAGCCTAAATGTAGTTTAACTTGTACCTGCTTTACACTGATACAACCTCAGTAGTTGTGAGAGAGCAACTCCCAGTTTATGTAAACCTGTGTAAGGGCAGATGGAGTATATGTCTACCTGTTGCACTGTGATGCAGAATACTTCAACCAGCCTCAGACGGTCTGAAGTGTAGCAGTGTGAACTGCCATAACTGCTGATTTAACACACTCCTTACTCTTTGGATTGTAAACAATGCAACTGTGGACTCATATTTGACATAGGAATGGTAAAACGTGTTTAAAGATTTTAGTAGCACAATTGTCTTTCTTAGTTATTTTACCATAATCAGTTCCATTTATGTCTGATTTACACTGTAATTTAATTCAGAACTTAGTCCTGGAGATTTATACAGCTTAAATGTAGTATGCTGGGCAGTAGAATTTTTAGTGTTACAAATCACGGAAGTGTTGGAAGATAAGATAATGGGAAAAGGATGCTTGGAAAGCAGACAGTCCATTTTCCTTTAAATTAGTAATAGGAAATAATCAATGGAGATGAAGAGTGAGTAGAAAATGCTGCTGTAGGGGCCTGGGATTTGGCAATTCCTATTATTTTTAAATCTAATATTTTTTTAGCAGGAAAAGAGCAGTCCAAGAAAAATGGCTTATCCTATGTAGTATAGCTTCTGAAGACCTCAAGGATGTTTTTGGGAAATTCTTCCATCCAGTATTTCTAGAACAATGAAGTCATTGCCTTGATCCACTTTGCTGTTTAACATTCCCCTCTTTTCCATTCAGGTTTTGGTCATTATCACAGATGTGAATGATTGTGCCCCTGAATTTCATCAGTCAATTTACAGCAAAGTTGGTGTACCTGAAACAGTCACTAAGACAACTGCACTTCTACAAGGTTGGTACTTCTAAAACTATTTGTTACATTCAGTATTAGTATTTTTTTTTCCTTCTCATTAATTGGAATTCAGTTCTGAAGGCAAATGGCACCTTGTAGAATCAGGTCATAATTATTTACTACAGCCACAGCCCAAACAATTTTGGGGGATGGGAGACAAAGGAGGCAAATCTTCTTTGTAGGATTTGGAAGTAACAGGATTTCAGTTGTGGTTGGTATTACAGCAGCAAGCTTATAGTAGCAATCTTGGCAACTGTTCTTTTTTTGAAGGAAGAGAATGATGTTGGATCAGAAATTGCAGACGCACCAGTTTACCTTCTCTGCCTGTCCTTAAGACTCCTTTGTGGGCTTGCTGCAGGGAATACTGCTCTTCTGCATTAAAAGCCTCTTGTGCGATTTAACTGTTATATGTGTAGTTTTGTTTGGATGCTTGAGAAAAGGACTTTGATTCTTCACAATGTGACCAGTAACTTAAGCTTTAAATGATGATGCTCTATAAATTAAGTAAATTTCGATTATGTAAACCACAGAAATCTTATATTGAAAACATTTATAAAGAAATGAACAGGTCCTGGAAATAAAACAAGTTTGTCAACTAAACAGTTGTTGAAGGGCCTTATGTTAGTTTTTAACCGTTACATAAACTTTTTATAAACCTTGAGAGGAAAAAGGAAATGAAACTACAGGAAAAGTGCAGTTCCCTAGTGAATAGGATTTTATAACCTACTGTTTTATTTAGTGATTTATCCTGTACTAATGGTAGTCTGTCAGTTACTATTCTGGTAACTGTGCTTTTAGCATAGGTTTTTGTAGGTTATGGATAAGATCTGACAAACAATAATTTACCTTGCATCAGTGGAATAATATATGTGAATATTTCATCTTTAATCACACACAGTGTGATCTGTCCAAGTGATCTTAAGTCAGCAGTATAGATCAGGTGGACATGAGAATATATGTCTCTGTGTGGGAATATATTCTTGGTAGTACAGGGCTTTTTAAATCCAGCAGGCAAAGGCAAGATCTAGTGGCTGAATTCCACCAGGGACTTAACTTTCCTTTTTCTTTTTTTTTTCTTTTTTTTTTTTTTAGCGACTTATGTTCAAGTAAGGGTTAGTTCAGTAAAAAGCACAGAGGATAGCACAGTTTTATAAATTATTTCAAGCAACATATGCCAAAGCAGATGCTCTTACAGTTTTATACTACTTGCTAATTCTCTTGTTAAAAGTACTTAACGTTCCAATTCACGAACTTTGATCTACACAATGTCTTTCTCTTCTCTTCTCTTTTAATAGTGACAGCCACTGACTGCGATTCAAAAGAGAATGCCGAAATACTGTATTACACTTTGAGTCAAGACTTCAGTATTACTTCTTATGGTACTATTTTTCCAGCAACACGCTTAGACTATGAGCGACCTGACCATCTTTATGAGTTCATAATTATGGCTGTAGATAAAGGGGAAGAGCCGAGGACTGGGACAGCAACTGTTAGGATCCATGTTTCAAATGTCAATGATGAAGCACCTAGGTTTTCCCAGACAACGTAAATACATATTCTTAAAACTCTGTTATCTTTGTCTTTTACTGTTGCTTTTTTTTTTTTAATTTTTGGTTGGAGGGCTGGTCATTACAGGATGGCAGCTGTCTTCAGTTCAATCAAATCTAAGAGTTAGACTGACAAATGATCTTTTGAATCTCAGACTCTGTTACTACCAGTAAAACAAAAAAAAGCTTTAAGTTTGGTTCTTAATTTTAAGGTTTAGGCATACTTTCAATGCATAGTAGGACTTATGGATCTGGCTAGATAGGGGTAGTATATAGACAGCCTCTTGACAAATCTTGCACTTAAGTTTTTTCCAGTAGGTACTGAAAGAGGTGGTGCACTAATTTCAGATTATATATTTCAAGAGGACCCCTCCACCACCAAAAGAAATAGAGCAGAAAAAGCAGGCAACTCACTGTTGTCCTTGGCCCTCATCCAGAGTATGTGGTGGAATTTTGCTTTTTAATTAGGCAATTTAAGTTTAAACAGAGTCAACAGTCTGCATCCTTGGTTTATAATCGTTAAAGAAAAATGCTTAGATGACAGAATGCTAAATGACCACTGAATCATAAAAACCACAAGATAAATGTCAGTAAGTGGAGTTCATTTAATTTCACTTAGTCTCATGTCCTACAAACTGTACTTTTTTCTTTTTTTTTTTCTTCTAAAATATCAGTAGGCATTTTTCTTCCATAGTTGGGGCTCAGAAGTGTCTGAAGCAATGTCAAAAGTACCTTAAACTTGCATTCACATTAGAGGATTAGTAATGGAATTCCTGGCCTATGCTCAATCCAGTCAGATAAAGTAATAAATACTTGGGACTGTGCTAAGCAGGGGTCTTTTCTACTCCAGAGAGCATTAAGCTTAGGCTGATAATGCCTCTTAAGACCTTACAATGTCAGTGATGTGTCTGGACTTGAGATTTTTGTAAAACTGCCATTATATCCACGTATCCTCCACATCTGATTCTCATCTTAGTCATACTGTTGCATAGACTACACTGAAAGCATTTTGACAGCTTGTGTCAGAAAAGTGTGCTATAACGAGCAATGCTTTAACTTAGCAAATGTTTACTTTGATTCTGTGAATCATGCAACTCATTTTTTTAAATAAAAAAAAAAAAAAAGTGAATTCTGTATTTAGTCCAAGTCTTGCTGTGAAGCTAAACTTCAGAGCTTCAGTACTGCTGAAAGGTTGCAGTGGAAATCCCTGGGAGGTAACAACAGAAAGACTTGAATGGTTGGATAGATCATCAATACTGTTGTTTCACTGGTTAACAAAGAAGCATCTTATCAGTGTAATTCTATTAATAAATTACAAATCTCTGCAGTACCCTTTGTACAGTTTGTCAGTAGTGTTATAAAACATAGTTCTATATATATTATTTTCTATCTGAATTTGTAAATGTGTTGTCTTAATTTCTTTTAACAGCTACAGGAGTTTTGTTTCTGAAGATGCAGGCCCGAACACGCTGATTGCTACAGTTAATGCTGTTGACCCTGATGGGGACGGGGTGACATACGGTATTCTGTCTGGGAATCAGAATGGAAACTTTGTTATTGACCCTAAGAAAGGTAATAATATATTAGCTCTTTGCTGCTACAGTCATAGTGTTGATTCTGATGTGATGCAGCTTCAATTTGGTCTTCATTAGCTACCAATTATGAAAACTGAAGAGCATATGCTATTTTTGAAACTAATACTAACCTAATTGAAAAAAGTGCAGGACAAAGATGTAATTATTCTAGACTCTCTTATAACGTTCAAAAAAACTTTTTCCTAAAAGCTTTGTGTAATTGACCTATCTTACTTGTTCATTGTTTGCTTTCAGTCAGTAACTTTATTCCTAAAAGCTTTGTGTAATTGACCTATCTTGTTCATTGCTTGCTTTCAGTCAGTAACTTAATAGAGAGTATTATTATAGATAACAGGTAACTTAATAGATAGTAATTTAACAGAAAATATTATTGATAACAGTAAGTGTGACATTCCAGAATGTCAAAAGAGGGTTTGAATAGCGTTTAATGTAGGAAACTAGTTTCAGAGTTGCAGCAAGAAAGGGCTAATCTGTGGGGTAAGGTGAAGTCAAAGGTGACAGCGAGGCAGGCAGGGGCAAGGGCATCACAGCCACAGAACACCATCCCAAGCAAGAAGAACAGAGCAGATCCTGAGATACAAACCTGGTTCATCCAACAGTCCAGGGGTCACCAGACAGGTTTGCAGTGATGAGGTGGGTCTCGGGTCAAGCTGGGAAGCCAGGTCAGCAAGGCAGTGTCAGGGTCAGCAAGATGCACAGCCAGGTCCATCACACCCCCGGGATGTGACCTGAGCTTCAGTGCAGCTCCTGAGACATGGGACAGAGGCCACAGACAGGGCTTGTGGCAAATGTCTGAGCCAAGGTTAGCCGGCTGTGTGGTGTCAGAGCTGGCCTTGAACATGGGCAGCCAAACCCAGGGAGCAGGAGGAAGAGTTTGCAAGGCCTGTTGATGCACTCAAAGCTTGACATCCACCTGCTGTGATTAGCTAAAGATACTATTAGTAATCAAATAGCCATGTGAGGAGAAAAAACAGATGACAGTTCTGACTGGAGTAGATTTCTTTGTGCCACTTTTTCAATAACTCAGTTTTAACTGATTTAAAGATGGCCTTTGAGTTTTTAGATGAAGGTTTTTTTCCCTGTGCTTATGTCTGTGTCTTCATTACCTGTGTGAGAGCAAATGCTTCTTAACAGAGTTTATGTGTGTTGTGCTGACATGAAATGATGCATTTGTACGCAGAATGAGACTGCAACTGTTTTATTTCAATAAATGCAAAAATATATAAAATATGAACTAAGTAAGTATATGTGCTAATTTATCTTGGCTTTTTCATTTCAGGACAAAATTGTTCACATGAGCTATGTTATTTAGACAAGAATGCTGCATGCATGAGGAAAAAAAAAGCGTGGAGAGTACTTTGCAGTTTAAGTAGTTTGTTCTGAAATACCAGTTTTTACACCTTTTAAAATTCTTTCCAGCAGTTGCGTATTTTTAAAACCCCAAAGGAAAAAATCCCACAACATTTTTGTCCTCATTTAAAAAAAAATAATGCACAATCACATGTGATCTCAGGAAGCTGGTATATCCCTTTAAATTAATGAGATTTATTTGCTGTTTATTGCTTGAAAAAAACTAAAGATAATGTTTAAGACAGAAACAGGCAACCAAATTGAAATCCCATGGATGTAGCTTGATTAATTTCAGTTAAACTGCTTTATATTTAACCTGGTTTAAACTGCAGTCAAAACCTGAAGTTACATTGTTCAAAGCACAAGTGTTGAATATGTAGGAAGGAGTAAGCCGCCCTAAGTTATTCTTTCTCTTTATTTCATAGAGTTCACTTAGCATGAAATTTTATTTTCAATGCAAATTATGGTTTTGCAGTATTAATGTGAGATTCTCAAATGTTCACAAAAATCTGGTCTGCAGGTAACTTGTAAGTGTTGAAGCCTGATCCTGAATTTATTGAGAGCTCCTTTTATCCTTTCTGACTTAAAAATAGAGTTGTAGGTTCCAAGAGTTAAATTTCTAAAGATACTTTGTCACCTGAAGAGGAAGGATGGTTTTAAAAGTGTCTCATTGCCACAGGGGTGCTATATCTGATGCTTCTGGTAATATTTAAGTGCTCAAAGAATCTTAACATTTGGTTGATAGCATCTCTTAAGATCAGCTCCATAGTTTTAGTATAGATAATCATGTATATGTAATTATTACCAATTAACTTTTATAGTCTTTGAAACTTAATTTTAGAAACATTAGGGGTTTTTTTTTCCTAAACACTTTTGGGCTTTTGTTGCTTAATAAAGCAATAAATGTTTATACAGTGGCTTGCAGCAGTTTCTTTTCAGAATGATGTCAGGGGAATAGTCTGTACACCATTGTCACAGAAATGCCAAGGTAAAATGGAAATGTGTCAAAAATAAGTGCTGCAGCTAAAACAGTACATTTGCAAGCAGATTGAGTGACATGGATGCTGTGACAATACTCTGTAGTAATGACAATTGCTATTATGCTTGATGAACAATAGATGTGATTGACGCATGATGGAACAAAAGAATGACAGCTTCTTACTGCATGGTCTCAGATACCTGTAGTCTCTCTTGCTTTTGTAGCAAATCTTTCATACATCTTTCTCAGACGGTGCCTTTACATCCCATCCAGCAGGGTATAGAATTTGTGTGACTTTGGAGAGTAGCAAAATACAAGTTTCTGAGTATATGCCTGTATAGCTAAATGCTGCTATGATTGTGCTGCAGGAAGGTAAACTTGTACTAGTTTCAGTTGAGCTAGCATTGGTAGCTACAGCAGTAGACATGGTGACACATGCTTCATTGCAGTAATGACACAGGAACACAGCCAGGCTCACTGGTGGGGCTGGTGCTGGTAGAAAAGAAGTTTGCCACAGTGTTTCTCTGGATTTTTTGCTTTTTGTTTTTTTTCTGAAGCAGGTAGACTAAAGCTAGTTATGTACAGGTCAGCTGAGTTGTAGCTGTTGTCTCATTTAGCTCTGTAGACATACCTGCAGACAAACCAACCTGTTGTGCTGTCTTAGTTTTGTTTTAATATCAGACTGCAGTAAAAATGCCATAGTTAACTTTAGCAGCTTTGTGGTTTATTGGTGAATGGGTAAACCAGGATGGTTTGTTGTGATTGCTAGTGAGAAGAATAACAGTAATTGGTTAATGTAGTAAAAACCAAAACAAACAACCAACCTATTCTTGTTTTTCCAGGGCTAGTTAGACTTCGCTCAAGTCCATTTCCTAAGCTGCAGGGCACAGAATATGTACTTAATGTCACAGCTACTGACGATAACGCCTCTGGAGGGCCCCATTCTCTTACAAGTACTGCCCAGGTTGTTGTGAAAATTGATGATGTCAACAATAACAAACCTGTCTTTCAGAAGGTAAATATATGAGGCTCGGTCATTTGTATTAGATTGTGCGGTAAATGTTTAAGACTGTGTTGCAAGTGATGCAGTGGATGAGCTATTCAAGAAGTGGTCCGCTGCCGTCTCTCTTTGAGTCCTGATGCTGCTGTCTTCTCCATCTTTTCCATCCCTCTCCTAAGACTTACTGGGTTTGTTCTCCTCTTGTGGCAGAACAGCTCCTGTGAGCACTGTCCCTCCCTAAACCACATATCACCTCTGGCATTTTAGAAGATGAGGTTGAGTAAATAACTTCTGGAGGTTCAGTGTCCCATACCTGAGGAGGGATTGATAGGTATAGCTATCTATGCAGTGGATTTGTTCCAAAATACCTCTCTAAATTACATGCACTTTTTTGATGATTATATGTCTGGAACTGTTGAAATAGCTATCTATGCAGTGGATTTGTTCCAAAATATTCCAAAATACCTCTCTAAATTACATGTGCTTTTGGGATGGTTATATGTCTGGAACTGATGAAAGAGAGAAGAATGAAAGTGTTTCAGCTTAATTTGTAAAGTACTGTAAAAAGTAAATCCTTGGATATGTTTTCATAACCTGAATTCGTATTTAAGATCTGTTGCCTAGAAATTTCAAGTTTGATGCTGAAGGCTAAAATATAGTTGGGCAATGTTCCTTATTTTGAAAAAGTCAGTGACTGTTCATGTCAGTCTAGGAAATTCTCAGCAATCCATCCTTGACAAAGTTACTTTGTGTAGAAATCTTTAAATCAAATACATGGTAAGGCCTTGATTTTTTTTTTTTTTCCTCCCCTCTCTTAGTGCCAGTATTATCGGGAACATGCTTCTGTATTGGAAAACCAGCCTTCAGGGACAGTTGTACTGCAGGTTGAAGCCACTGATGCTGATGAAGGAGCCAATGGTATAGTGAAATATGGCTTGATGCACAGAGGAAGTGTCCTACCAGCATTTAATATTCATCCCGACACAGGTAAAGTGAATATCAGAGCTGATACTGACATACATAAAAATCACTTCATTACACTGATGGAAGAAAAGCTTAAATAAAACCATACTTTGTGCTTTTTCACTGAGTTATTTGATAGCAGACTAAATATAAACTGTATTAACTGCGTGAACAAATATTCTCCCTTTAGTTTCGTAGGTGTCCAAGACTGAAATAGAATGAATGTTTTCCCTGAAATGTGGAAGTTTTGCTGTGTGAAGTAACTTGTGTGTTTTTGTAGCAATATTTTAAAAAGCCACCATATTTTAAGTGCACGTTAACTTGCAACATTGCTAATGGCATATAAATGATTTATCCAAATGATAGTGGTCTTACAAACAGCAAAGAGACTAAGTCTTGAAAGGTCAAAACTAAATTCAGGATGAACTTTGGAGGGAAGAAGACATGAAGCATCCCTTTACCCTGTACTTACTGCTCTTCATAAGAAATATTTTTTTATAAATTAATTTTCTTAAAGATAGTTTGGTACTTATCTCAGTTTTCTAAATTTAAGTCCAATTGTGTGTAGCTGTAAGTATATATGAAGTTTGCATCTACCTGAGCAGTACAATTTAAGCTGATGAAATTTGTTAAATCTTGTGATTGGATCCTTGAACCTGAAGTTCACATTATAGGTGTATTTAACCTACTGCATTGTATTTCAATATAGTGACAGACAAATAAACATCTAAATGTAGAGTATTGTCAAATGCATAGTATTTTAACTCTCTGGTATTTCATTTGTTTTCAGGAGTTCTGACAACTGCTCAGGTATTTGATCGAGAAAAACAGAGGGAATATCCTATCACTGTGACAGCAACAGATCAGGCAGCGGAACCGCTCATTGGAATATGTCAGATAAATATTATCATCCTGGACCAAAATGACAATGATCCCAGATTTGAAAACACCCATTATGAATGTAATTGAGAGTCATTGGATAGAGTTTCGGTGCCCTGAGTGTGAGCTTACCTGATGTCTAAGATTTTTGCATTTTTTCTTTCCTGGCAGTAGATCTTGTGACCAACTAGGTGATTGCAGCCAGAGATGCACTTACCTTAATTAATTGCAGAGTTGTTGTTCTGTGTAACAAGTACAGTCTTGACTCTTAGGCCTTCCTGAGTGTCGTTATGGGAAAATTCCTTGGAACAATAGCCGTGTCAATACCTTTCCTTATCTGACTATACAGAGTGTCTGTGGTACTACACAGAGATGTAAAAGTTGTAATTAGCACTTTCCTTATCTGACTATACAGAGTGTCTGTGCAGACAGAGATGTAAAAGTTGTAATTAGCATGTGGTTGTGCAGCGCTGAGCACTGTCCTTTGTTTTCTGATTAATAGATTTTTGTCATAACTTTTGATTACATACTTTCCCTTTTCCTGTTTGAATTTCATCATTCTTCATGGTTTGTTGTTTTACCTTTCCTTATTGGTGCTTCAAAAAACCCTTCCTGTTTATGGATAAACACCCAGAGGCATGTATAATATTCATTAAAAAAATGAAGACTGGTAATTCTCAGTTAGTTATACTCTGCAAATCCTAGAAAGTAGGTTCTGACAATGTTTTTATTCTGGTTTTATGCAATAAATTAAAATTCCTTTTATGTATATTTTATACACAGCAATTAATCCCTCAGTAAAAATACAAGGCAAAAAAAAAAAAAGTAGTATCTTACGAGAAATAAGAATTCCAGGTTGTGAATGTGATAATACAAAGTTCCAATATGATCCATAGCTCTGGAGTGATAGCAGCTCTTTAAAATATGCAGTTTGATTTTTATGGCTGTTGTTCCAAGGAGTATAAAATAACAGCTTCCATACATTATTACCTTAGTACTTCTTAAATTCTTAGTAAGATGTTAATGGTACTTCAGTGAATTAATGATCAGTTTGAAATATCCTTTCCTTACATTAGATTTCCTGAGAGAGGACACAAGAGTTGGGACCAGCTTTCTTCATGTTGCAGCCCATGATGATGACTACAGCTCAAATGCTGCCATTTTGTATTCGATAGCAAATGAAGAACCAAATTATTTACAAATTGATCCTACTACAGGCTGGGTGTTTGTGAACCAACCCATATCTCAGGTATGGCACTTATTCTCCTTTTTAAGCTGGCTGTCTCAATATATCATAGGAAGGACTGAGGTCATGAGTTTGTACTTACCTCCATGTTACCCCTTCACATTGAAGAATCAATATGTAATTTTTAAATAAAAAATGAGTCTAAGGCTTTTAGCGGATGAGTTCATTGACTGTGAACTGCACAGAAGCAAGCCCTGCCTTCAGCTGGAAAGTAGCAGCTGACAGCACTGCCTCTGAGAACTTGTCCTTCCCATTTCATTAGCTTTGGCACACTAATACCAAGGACTGGAGAGCTAAGACTTTAAGCAGGGGAGCAAGAATCCACGTGAAGGACTTACTGTGTTAACAGGCAATGAGTTAAGACATGATAAGAGTGTGAAATTTTGCTTCTGGTACAGATTCCCAACTTGATACATGTTAGTCATGGTGGACTAAGCAGAGCTATTCCTCAGGAAGGTGAAGGCATAGTGAACAAAACTGTTGTATGTACTTACTTTTGTACTTTTAGTACAAAACTGTACTAAAATTTGACAGTTTCAGTGATTTCTAGATGCCTGCATAAGCAGTTTGATATTTTCAGTGTTGCAAAGTAATTTGTGTTGAAGCAAAAATATTGTTGTAGATGTTAGTCTAAAAAAAACCCCTAATAGGTATTTTTAATATTGAAATTTAACTTCTAAGTAACTGACCCACAAAAATTTGGTGAAGGTGTATCCTTTCAATATATTTTCTTTATTGAATCTGAGAATGTGACAGACCTAATAATACAAATTGTTGATAAGAACTCAGGGGCTCCACAAAGTGGGGTTTTTTTTGTTTTGTTTTAAAAGTTATGTGAAATTTGCTAAAGCTTATTGAAACATATGACAGTGTTTTCCAACAATCAAATAGCAGAATTTTCAGCAACCTTGCACCTACTTCATATTCTGAGCCCATTATTCAGCATTTGTGAATGATTTCCCTCTATGCAGGTTTTCTTAAGTGTGTCTTTAATTTTATGTATTCATTTATTTTGGAAAGAAAAAAAAAGCGCATCAGAACCCTGATCAAAACCCTCTGTAACAAAAACTTTTTTACTCTTCAGAGGTCATCTATAATTCGAGAGATTATTGCTACAGATGGAGGTAATAGGAGCAGTAAAGTTGAACTTGTGGTAACTATTACCAGTGCAAAAAACCAGCCTCCACAGTGGGAAAGAGACAGCTATGAAGTTGTTATTCCAGAGAATACTACACGAGATACATCAGTTTTGGTAAGGTTGGGACAGATTTGTTTGTCTGTCTATAGTTCTAAGGCTGTACAGTAACTGAATATTGCTTATTTGCTTAAATATAGTGAGCTTTTCTAACAGCCTTGTGCATTGTAGGGACCAATGATCTGCTATCAGTTTTCTTTCAGAAATGATAATGGTAGCCAGCATTTTTGCTCAAATTTCTATGTGTGCAACCACTGTTTAATTTCCTTCCTGTTTGGACAAAACTATAGGTGTTCCAATTTTTTGAAATTTCTATGTGTGCAACCACTGTTTAATTTGGAGAACACAATAGGTGTTCCAGTTTTTTTAATGCTGCTGTGTTACCTGAGGTGATTATTTGTCTTAAAGTACTTAAGAGTTGTTCAGTATGATTATTCAGAATGAGTTATTGGAACAACTTTATGAAGTAAGTCCCAAATATATATTTTTAGGATAAAAGCATTAAGAACCACATATGTAAAGACTGGTAAACTTTGGCTGCAGCTGTTTGTGGCCTGGAGATGTATCAGGCAGGGTTAAGATTTAGTATCAGGAAATACTTGTCCTAGCATTTTCGGTTGGGAGCTGAAGATATGGGAGAGTCAATACATAAAAGCTTTTAGAAATGTTGCTGAACTTAAAAAAGTGTTATTTTTGCAAACTTTTTGAACTCTGCAGAAAATCAAAGCAGCTTCTCCCCTTGGTGATCCCCGTTTGACTTATAACCTAGAAGAGGGACTTGTTCCAGAAACCAACATGCCAGTTCGTTTCTACTTGACTCCAAACAGACATGATGGTTCTGCATCAATCCTGGTAGCTGAGCCATTAGATTATGAAACAACAAAGAACTTTCTGCTGAGAGTTCGAGCACAGAATGTTGCTGCAGTTCCTCTGGCAGCATTCACTACAGTCTATATTAATTTAACAGGTGTGTAAGCTGTTCGGTGATGTTATGCTATAATCATAGTACTTATTTTTTTCCTTTTTCTTTTAGGTTTTATAGATTTCTCTTTATGTTCTCTTTTTGACATTTTAGATGTCAATGACAATGTCCCATTCTTCACTTCATCTATTTATGACGCCTCAGTAACAGAGGGAGCTGATATTGGGACATTCATCATTCAGGTCTCTGCCACTGACCTTGACCTTGGTCAGAATGGTGAGGTAAGCAAGTGGGGACCTCCATCTTCTGTGATGAAAGGTATGGAGTAACTTCTGTATGAACAATGGCTAAATAGACTAGAAGTCTTTAACTTAGAAAAAGGATCAGTAATAGTGAAACATGAGATGAAAGAAAGTAGTTATTTACAAGTTTCTCTGTCTTGCCATGTGAAAAATGCAACCAAGACTAGTAGATATGAGACAGAAAACAAAGAAGAAATATTTATACAACCTGTAGTTCAAGTGAAAAACTTGCTATAGAAAGCTGTGGTTTGGAAAGGTTTACATAGACCTAAAATGTATTTGGATAAATTAATGGAAGAAAAAATGTGTTAAAAGCTTCTGTGAATTGTAAACCATTGGGGGTACTGAAAACGGAATCTGTACAAAATACATCAAGTTAACACTAAAAGTGGAGGTATTTGTTACCAGTTTTAAAAATCAAAAGTAGGTGTATCCTTAGAACAAGAGTGCAAGCTGAAGTCAAGTGCATGAAAACATAGAGACTAGAACATGGCCCATGGTACTGGGCAAGTTCAAATTCAGCTCACCTGTGGCATTATATTAGTACCTGGGATCTTTAGCTGAGTTTGAGTGCTGTTGCACAAGCACTCTGCAAATGTGAACTAGTGAACTCAGGAACTGATTTGACAAGGCAAATTTATTTCCATTTACAGATCAACAGTCAACATGCTAGGAAGTTAGCTGACTTCAGGCTAGTTTGTTCAGGCTGGCAGTTTTACTTGGCCTTCTTGGCCCTGGTCAGGTTCTCAAACACAAGACTGTTTTTCCTGTCTTTAAGTATTTCTTTAGTTGTGAACTATCCAAAAAAAGGAAAGTGTAGATTAAGAACTTCTTTTTAATCCTTTAGGTAACTTACTCCCTGCTACATGACAGTGGCAGAGACTACACATATTTTCACTTGGACTCACAGACAGGCTCAATATACACTGCCTCAGTGTTTGATAGAGAGAAGAAGGGGTCCTATCTTCTAGAAGTCAAGTCAATAGATGGCTCTGAATCAGCTCGACCTGGAAGACATGGGAAGCCAAACTCTGGTAAGAGACAGATGTCTGCGACAAGCATGATTTTACCTGGATTGGTCTCTGAAAACAGAAGCTCTGAAATACAAGATTAAATGTTAATTTCCCTTTTTTCAAGTATACTTGTGAAAGTGTCTATTGTTTTTGGTTTGGGTTTCGTTTTTTTACTGTTTGTCTGTGCAACAGTTGTCTCGGAGCTAGAAGAGATATTTTATATGGTGATCAGGCAAGCTTTTTGTTCTGAAATGAAAAGAAGACGAGGGCTTCATAGTTAAAGTTTAGTAAGTATCTCCTAGCTAGCAAAGAAGCACTCATTATCTGCAGGATGCAGATATCTGGGTAGTGAAGGTGTTTGTCAAAGCACTGCATATGGTAATATATTCAGTCAAAAGTAATTATGAAGTATGAAGCAGGGAAGTTCAAGATAAAAAATCCCATTCTCAATTGATGACTGTGCTTAAATAAAGACTTAAAATTTGGCTTTTGTGGCTTCAGGACAAAAAGTTATGACTAAAAACTGTACAATTGCCATATTAGGCATCAATTATTCACATATTATCTGTTTAAACAAATTGCTTGTGACTTTCATTTGATATCTGAGGGCTTTTGAGTAATGTTGGTATATATATTGTCCACAACCCTAAGGGTTTGTTTCTGTATTGTCTGCATATTCATCTTCATTTAGTGTGCAGCTAGACAGTTTAAGGAATTGTAGCTGACAGAAGTGGCACAGCTGAGTATTTTAATCTCTTGTTTCCTGTCTCTCTAGACACAACCTACGTGCGCATTTTTATCACTGATGTGAATGATAACAAACCTGTCTTCACTCAAAGTGTCTATGAAGTAAATGTGGATGAAGACCAAGATGTGGGCTCAACTATCATTACAGTCAGTGCTAATGATGAAGATGAAGGTAAAGTATTGGAATTCCCCATAGCTGTGTCTAAAATATTAATGAGTTAATTTCAGCACACCAAGATGTATTTAGTGGTGTTAGAAAGGAAAATGTCTTTTTGTCTCTAGATTTTAAAACTTCTTGTAAGTGTGAACTGATTGGGCATGAACATTAGTTCATAATGGAGCTGTGAGCCATAAGTCAAATAACTTATTTCAGGAGGCAATGCATTAATGTGGGATGATGGGGAATAATTTCTGTGCCAGGAAATACAAATTTATTATAGATCATATAATTTTTTTACAAATGGGCGCCAATAAAAATGTCCTGGTTAACTAGAATGAATCAGACTTGATTTCTTCTTTTTTTTTCTTTTTTTAATACACATTCTCATATTTGAATCTAGACTTCCGAAATGCGTATGATGAGTCTTATCTGTATTGCTTTATCTACAAATCAGTCAGGAATTCAGCCGTAAGTCATGTAAAAATAAGTATGTAACTGGTGCTCCCAGATGAGAGAGGGAATGGTACAGACTTCCGTCTTTTGCCCATGGTGCACTACTAATTTGACTTTGCTGCATGGTGAAACCATACATTTTTGTTGCACAAGTGCCAAAGGACTGTTCTGTCAGTATGCCTGTGAGGTGCAAGTACATCCTGACTGTGTTTAATACCTCAGCGCATCAAGGAGGTTGAGGCAAATGTGGCTAAGCTGTACTGAAGAAGGATTTACCTACTCAAGGAATTTTTAGTTTGTTACTTAGGCTACCTCTAAATCTACTCTATAGTGCTGGATCAGATGTGATGGATATATGGCACTTCATTTCTGTCCTCTTAATAAAGTAAATGATTAAAGATGTAGCTATGAAAGAAGAGAAGAATGTTAATGGAAGGTAGAGCTTGCAGAAAGGCTAAAAGTCTTGATCTAAAACCGTGAGCAAATTGGTACTGCCTCTGAAATTTTGAGAAGTTCTGCTAGAACTGTGTCATATGGCTTGATATGTAATAATCCTGTTTGTTGGTAAAGTCTATGCATAAATTAATATGAGTGCAGAATTTTTCTACGGTATGAAGTATTTTATGATATCTCATGTGCTGGGAGTTAGCAAATAAGAAATTGTCTTTTTGGTCCCATAGCCTTGGCCAGTCATATTGATCCTTCAAGGAATTTGAGGGATCATAAGTAAAAGCAGAATTAATACTTAATTGAAAAGACATACTTTATAATTAGGCACGAATTACCAGAGTTGAAAATGCTGGCAAGTAATCTGACCTAGCTGCATGTTTTAAAAGACCATAAAACTATAATACCCCAAATGAGTTATTGTGTGATTTGTACTTCATCTTAATATCCCATGTTTAAAGCTACTTCAAGAAATGTGTGTTTTCTGACACTGTTGGTAATTGACAGGAACAAATGCTAAATTACGGTATCAGATCACAGCTGGAAACCCAGGAGCAGTTCTTGATGTAGAACCAGAAACAGGAGCCATTTTTATTGCCCAGCCACTGGATTATGAAGAAACAAAAATGTATGAGATTCACTTGTTGGCCTCTGATGGGAAATGGGAAGATTATGCAGTTATCATCATCAATGTAATGAATAAAAATGATGAGACTCCAGTTTTCTCTATCAATGAATACTACGGAAGTATAATTGAGGAACTGGCTGTGTTACCAGTCTTTGTACTTCAGGTAACGTATGCAGTTTCAGAGATTATAATATTTCAGTGAAAGAGCACAGGTTACTCTCGTACAATGATGTTAATAATCATCCAGCACAGATATATTAATGAAATTTAGTTTTACTGAGTTTTTTTGTCACTGGAAGAAGAGAAATGGACTTTTATGGAAAAATAATTACGAAGACAGTAAGCAGGATAAGCAGGATGGATCATTTATGATCCTAAAAGGCAAATAATTAACATTTTAAAGTAGCTATCAGAATAGCATAGTTAAATTACCTCTACAAATATGAAAAACTAAAATATTATTTTAGTATTAGAGTATCTACATTGTTATTTCAGTGCAAAGCACATTTACCTACTCTGAATTGTCCCTCAGACACCTCTTATTTGCAGTTTATCTGGCATGCACATATTAATAGCATGTCATATACTTTTGCTTGGACTCTTTTAGACTGTAGCAGCATGTAGGATATAATGCAATCATTGCATATTTTATAATTTCTATGTGTTTGTTTTCAAAACTTTTGTAGGTTATGGCAAATGATCCTGATAGTAATGTGGATGAAGGAGATTTGAGATACTCATTGCATGGACACGGTGCAGCTGATATTTTCACAATAGATGAGAGAACGGGCAGCATTTACTCACACAAGATGCTGGATCGCGAAGAGAGAGCACTGTGGAGATTTGTGGTATTGGCTACTGATGAAGGTGGAGAAGGACTTACAGGATTTGCTGATGTAATTATTAACGTGTGGGATATAAATGACAATGCCCCCATATTCACATGCATGCCTGATGATTGCAATGGGACTGTCTTTGAAAATTCTCCTGCAAACACATTAGTCATGGAAATGAACGCAGTTGATCGTGATGATCCTAATGTAGGTCTTAATGCTGTCCTGACTTACAGGATAACAGAGAATGTAAAAAATGAGTTTGGTACTGACATGTTTAACATCAATCCCAGTACTGGTACAATCCATGTAGCAAGGGGAATGCTGGACAGAGAAAGGACTGAAAAATATTTTCTTACTGTTGAAGCAAGAGATGGAGGAGGGCTAACAGGAACTGGCACGGCCACTATCTGGATTGCAGATGTCAATGATCATGTACCAAAATTCACAAAAAAGGTGTGGCAAGCAATAATTGCTGAAAACAGTCCTGTCGACTCAGAAGTTCTGCAAGTGTGTGCTATGGATCCAGATGTTGGGGAAAATGCTGACTTAATATTCAGTATCATCGGGGGAGACCCCGATCAGAAGTTTTATATTGGGAATGATGAAGAATGGCAATGTGCCACTATTCGACTGAAAAAAAAATTGGATTTTGAGAATGCACATGAAAGACAGTTTAATCTTACTGTTACAGTGGAAGATCTCGATTTTTCTAGTATTGCAGTGTGTTTGATTGAAGTTGAAGACTCTAATGACCACAGCCCAGTTTTCCTTTCTCAGTTTATTCAGGCAAGCCCTGTCTTTGAAAATGTGCCTGTAGGTACTACAGTATCCACAGTGAGAGCTACAGACAAGGATTCAGGTTTGAATGGGAACATTATGTATTCTATAAAGTCAGATTCAGATCCTTTGAGATGGTTTGTGGTTGACCAATATGGTCATGTCATTGTGGCAAATACACTAGATCGTGAAGTCATTCAAAAGTACAACATAATTGTAGAAGCTTCAGATCAAGGGACACCTGCCCACACTGGAAGTGTCACAGTTTTGATTAACTTGCTTGACGTTAATGACAACGGACCGAGGTTTGAGGCACCATACATGCCTGTAGTTTGGGAAAATATACAGAGGCCTGAAATAGTGTATATGAACCATACATCAAAACTGCTTCATGCATCTGATCCGGACAGTGAGGAAAATGGGCCACCTTTTACATTTTCATTGCCACCAGATTATCAGGATTCTTTGGATTTTTCTCTTACTGACAACAGAAATAACACAGCAACCGTAACTGCTTTGAGGTCCTTTGACAGAGAAAAGCAGAAGGTGTTTCATCTGCCAATAGTTATAACAGATGGTGGGATTCCAGCTATGAGCTCTACAAACACCCTAACTATAACAATTGGTGATGAAAATGACAACTGCCATGAATCTGGACATAAGGAAGTCTATGTGTACAGTTACAAAGGTAAGTGCTATCTGGATATTATATCAGATTCATGAATATAGCACAGTTTTATACATAATTTCTCTCTTGCAGTTCTTAATTAATTTTTTAAAATGGTTTACCTTTTTCAAAACTGAAACTCCAGTTCTGTAAACTGCTAAAAGCAGTGGAATGAGTAAAGTATATCTGCAAAGCTCAGACCCTAGTGTGTAGAAGTTCATCTACCAAAAAAATGTTAGCTGCAAGCATTTATTGCACTTGCAGAAAGCACAGTATTTATAAATATAATAATATTATTTTTATTT